GTTCCATATAGGGAGATAGAGGTCGGATAATGCTGATCTGGCGTCTTGAATCTTGTGAATAATAGACATAATCTGAACCGAGCTGCAGTACACTTAATTTGTCAAAGTTAACTTCCGACGCAAAATAGTTTTATTTTTATGTACTTTTCATGGGGTTGGCAAAGGTTAATAAAGTCAACGGGGGGGGGGGACAAAGAGGGGCCTAAATGTTATAAATGTAAAAATCGCCCTCTACTATAAACGTCTGGGCTCGTTTTACAAGTTTTTTTTAAACTTGTTGGCGTGTACAGATTAGATGGAACGATGCACAGCATCTGTACATCTTGTCTGGCATTCATCTGGTAATGCTTATTTTTAATGTCACTTTAATCAAGAGGGGGTGGGGGTAGTGACAGAAACGTCATTTCAGGTTTCTTCGGTTAAAAAAAAAGGTGGGGGGGGGGGCGCAAAACTTGTCCAGGTTGTTGAGTTGTTTATTACTGGAAGCGCCACAGTACATAATAATTTAAATAAAACATGTACATTCAAAGGGGTGCCAAATGCCCCCTGACCTAACCAAAATGACGTCCCTTGATGAGAGGTGCGGAAATCAAAGGCGCAGAAAATCGGATTGGTGTGGGGTGGAGGTGAATGATAATGCATCTGACTGAATTTGACTGAACCCCTGCCCAGAATTTTTTTGATTGATTTAAAATGAATTATAGCACATATCTGAATTTATTTTTGTATCATTCTTCCCTTAATCGGAGCGCAACAGAAGAGATGTTATTTGAAAGAAAGCGCAGCTTAAAGGGAACATTGGTTGCAACTGACTGAATAGTTATGCAATTCATTCATTTTTATTTAGTTTTTAAATTTACTAACTTGTATTTATTTTTAAATTTCATTTAAAAAAAAAAAAAAAAAAAAAAAAAAAAAAAAAAAAAAAAAAAAAAAAAAAAAAAAAATGTTATGCAATTCATTCATTTTTATTTAGTTTTTAAATTTACTAACTTGTATTTATTTTTAAATTTCATTTAAAAAAAAAAAAAAAAAAAAACTAGACTAAACCTAATAAATTAAACAACGCCTGTAATGTAATGGTAAATTACACACTGTGACCCATTAAATGAACCAGGGGAGGTAAGAAGTGAAAAGGAAAAAAAATACACTGCCTTACAGTGCTATCCAACTGGGGGAAATTTCCCAAGATCTGGGGATTTCTCAACCCTTTTGATGGAGACTAATCTTAAAACCTGAAGGAGAATATTTCCCAGCCTTTTCATAATTTTGCCCCCCACCCACCTTTTTTAAAAAAGTGCCACTCCCTCTAAAAAAGGAACTAGCATTTTAAATTGACTTCTTATTAAATGTACTTCTTATTAAATTGAGTTCACTCAAGTGGGGAAACCCTGGCATAGGGGAGAAAAAGTGTGTTGTTTTGTTTTTAAATATTGGGCTATTCCGGCTGACCCCCAACTTGAGCTTCGCCACTCCCAGTATAGTTGTCTGATATCTTTATACCACATAAAGTTTGTATTTAAATTTTACATTTCTTAACTCCGCTGATGAGCACTGGTCAAATATATCACAGATATCAGTGACAGCGTGTTTCAGTTTCTGCAGTATACGTTGTTATTCGTTCGCATGCGAAGATGACCGAGGAAATTGACATGAGAATTGCCTTGACTTGAGCTGTTGTTTCAGGGGAGTAATTTCAAGTTGTAATTGAGTGGCTCAATTCGTCAGCCTCACTGTTACGTCCTTTCCTATCTGGCAAGACTGAAGTACGACTGGAAATAGACCATGATGCAATAGGATGGCAGTGTGTTTCACTATGCTTTGTATGCCTTCTATGCAGGCGTTTTTAGAATTTCCGGGTTTGATTTCAGAGTTTGCCTTCTCTTAGATGAGAGTTGCCATCCAAACTTCGTCCCACCCACCCGGGTGGTTGTGGTGTTTTTGCTTTTCTATGCGTTTTCTGGGGATATAGGTTACACTAACTCGGGATTGACTCGGTTAAGAAGACCACTCGGCCACCAAGCACACATACAGATGGCCCCAAAAAGGGATGATATCTCTTACATTGCAATATAATTACATCTTTTGTTTCCAAACAAAACCTGAAGCATAGTAAGTGTCAGTCGAGAATCGGGTCATTAAAAAGAAATCGGCAGCAATCTTGTGTGACATCACACATTTTGTCATTAACTTCATGAAGGGCACATGATACGTACAAAAATATTTGTTTTAGAGTGTAAATCCAGAACCTTTCTTAGGAGTTTGGGGGCCCTAAGCATGGAGCGTAGGTTGGGGGCTCCGGGGTGGGGCTCCCTCGAGCTGAGGAGAAAACACCACCCACCACTGCGGCACCTCCATTCTGCCTTCATCAATGTTTCCTCTTTGCTCGCGTGTAACCACTAACCATATTGATAATTCCGCCACTTGAGGAAATGTGTACTTCTGAAATATATGGACATGCAGGTGGTAGTGGGGCCCTAGGCGGTTGTCTAGTTTGCCTATATGCCTAAGAATGGCTCTGGTGGCACTTATTTCCTTATTTTGAGGAAGGAGATCGCCCCGGCTATCAATAATTTGTTTGTATGTGCATCATTGCTAATCCCTTAGGTGTTAAGCGACCCTACGAGGGCCCCCTCTCGTTAGGCACCCTACGCGGATGCGTAGTCAGCGTATGCCTAAGAACGGGCCTGGTAAATCTTTTTGGACGGCTCGCACCACCCATCAAGTTACAATTAAAATAAATAAAACTTTTAACAAGACAATTAATTTCAACGTTAGTGATATGGCTCCAACGTCTGTCTATGCTAGGGGTCCTCAAAGTAATTTATGTATGTGTGTGGGGGGTGATTGCAATCATCCCCCCACCCCACTTTTTCACGACTTGAGGCCTGATGACAAATAACGTCCCGAAACAAAGAGTCTGCTCTAACTCCTCATTCAAACGAACTGCACCGTTTCCGTAAAAAAACTTGGACAACGTCTAAGTTCTAGGTTCTATGACGCAACACACACACCAAAACATAACAAAGAACGCGCAGCTATTTCACACGACATATAGCGAAGAAAAAAAAAACGACACAGATTTGTAAGTAATTGAAGATTTTCCAATAATTTGTATACAATTTAAGTCACTTGATGCGGACCTAAGAAAATTCTTCTAAAGTCAGATATACAGCGTGCCCAAATTTGTGTATATTCAAATCATCAAAATTAATTGAAAGACAAAATGAATTTTCCTTGCGGGACTTGCGAACAATTTCAAAATGGCCAATTAAAATTCTATTTTAAAAGCTAAAATTCATTGTTTGCAGTTTGGTCTCATTAAAAAAATTGCAGAGCTATACGAGTTCAGTGTTTTGACAATTTTGGCGCCCGTGGCCTTTTCCTACTCTGTAGACGTCCTTGCAGGTAGTCTGATAATGGTAGTGGTAGTCTGTAAAAATCATTATTAACTGGGGAGTTTTAGAAAGAGTGAGTGGCAGCACTGCTCTCCAGTATCAATGCACGCCAACATGGCGGCAGTATAGCCATTTTTTCATGATTTTCTCACAATGTTGAGCTTTTCTAGGCATTTATCTAACAAAGTAACACAATTCGGTCGTAAGTTTAACTCTTTCGACTCGGTTTGAAAAATGGTGGATGATGAGTGAGTATCACTATCGCCATCGACCGATTATCAGAATCGAACTGCGTGCATCTCCAAGTGGCCAGGCAGCGTTTACCTTCCAACTGCTAAGTAAGACTACTACAATAACAATGTAAACGATCTGTGCACTTCATTTTTTTTAAGCTTTCGGTCTTTCTTCTTTATACTATCGGAGATATTTTAAAATAATGATCTGGTCCACTCAATAAAATGTACCGTAATTAAAATTTAGGTCTAAACTAGGGTGACCAAACAGCCTCCGTAAAAACGGGATTGTCCCCTTTTTCACGATCGTACCCGGTGCCCCGAAAAAGCCTCTCGGGACGCCTAAATGTCCCTTTTCTAAAACCAAACACATTTTCAAATCACTAAAGCTTCCTTATTTATAATATAGTAATATTTTGGCTAGCTGTGTAGTCAGTGCCAGTAGTAATGTGGGTTCGTGTGATGGCTGCACTGTTCCCCCTCCACCACTGTGACTGTGCCCATGAAATTGAAATATTCTCATTTTAACTATTTTGAGACCTAGAAATCTTTTTACTTTCGCTTTTGTAATTTAATTTAAACTCTTATGCACATCATAAACGAAAACAATAATTTTGCAGCGTCCCGACCGAGGCCCCCGTAACCCTCCTTAGCTGGAGGGTATCCCCCCCCCCCCAACCCTCCTTGGGTGTGTCCCGTTTTTTCCAGTTCATGATATGGTCACCCTAGTCCCCAACGTGATTTTTAAACTTTAAGGCTAAGGCAAGGAAACTTAACTACTCACTGTACTGTACAGAGTACTTCTTCTTCACTATAATACTTCATTGTAATTGTACGGTACTCATTCTCAACTGCACTGTAACTTAAGTTTTAAATGATGAAATTCAGTGTAAGTAATGTACTGTACAGTTAATATACTGTACTGTGAAACTGACACGAACAACGTAGTAAGTCAGTGACTACTTAGTTATGTCAACTACTTATTCAAAATATATCATTTATGGCAATGCCCCCCCCACCCATTGGGACAATATTAAACATTTCTGTCTGAGTACTTACCTATGTGTCTAATCAGCCTACTGTATTTTGGTACCATAAAAATAAATTTCAATATTAATAACAGCACCAATAGTAGTAAAGTATAGTAATTCTTGAACTAGGTTTACTTTTATTATTAAAGTTAAAGAAATTATCATGGCTTCCATAAATTTCTGTAGTTTCACTTCATCCATTATTGTTCACAGGTGCAGATTGAGCAAAGTTTCTTTTCCTAGTGCTAACATTTTAAAAATAAATGGAAGATAATTCACTTGATGACCCCAGACAAAAGAAGTCAAATAATGATCCTGTTGACATAGCACCGCCTATAATGCCACCAGACCCCACACAATTGGCATTTGATTTCAAACAAGAACTAGCACAGTGTTCTGAGCTAAATGCCAGATACGAGGAATCAAACAAGATGTTCATTTGTCACTTGTGTGATTTTCGCACTGCTTTTAGAAACAGTCTTCTGAACCATCAGGCTGTCCACTCTGATGTCAGACCATGGGTATGTGCAATGTGTGACTATGCTGCTAAACGAAAACAAGATTTGAAAAAGCATCTACACACTATTCATGGCATGATGGTAGAGTCGCCCATGTTAAGGCCGATTGGAGCGATACCAGGGGCAACAATTAGTATTGCATCTAAATCCCATTCAAGAGATGAAAGTAGTGAAGAAAATTCTTGTGATACCGGTAATGAAAAAATTAATAAAACTGACTCCATACCACCAATGCCCTGTTTTCCTCATCATCATAGTCCCACAAACAGTATGACAAAACTTGAATCTGTTTCTGTGAAACAAGAACTTCAGGAAAACATGCCCATAATTTTTAATCAAGGTGCTCTGCCAAGCATGTCCCACTTTGTCCAGAAAAATTCAAGGGACTCTCCTGACATGGATTTACCACTATCCTTTCCTGCTATTCCCATTTCAAAATACTCTTCTGCTATGGCCCAAAATGAAGTAACTGAAAATGTGTCTAATTATTCAGAAGGTGAGAATTCATTCACCACAGAGCGTTATCGTAGCAACAGTAAGCAAAATAATCACATACGATTCATGTCTGAAAGACAAACAGATTGGTCTACTCCTAGCTCCACTCAGAAACCAAGTAGAAAGCGTCCATACACTGTTCATCAAGAGTTCAATCAGGCACTCCAAGAAACTGCTAATGGCACTGAAAGGTCAGCTCCACCACCTAAAAGTAAGGATACTGAGGACCTACACCCATGCAGTAGTTCTAGCAGTAATATCAGCCATGCCAGGGAAGTCCAAACCCATCCACATTTCCTGTGTGAACACTGCGATATCATGTTTTTTCAAAGGGCCATGTACCTTATGCATATTGGTCTGCATTCAGCAGATGACCCTTGGTGTTGTGCAGTTTGTGGTAATGTGTATAATGAAAAGTATAGTTTCACATCCCATTTCATCAATCAGCATTAAGATTTGTATATATATTTGTTTCTTTCTAGTCTTTTAATTGTGATTTTTGCTTGATAGGGTCAACCTTTATTTTCATATTATCTGTAACGGTATTTGTATTAAATTTTACAAAGTTTATGTGACTGTTGTGGGATGTACTGGTACCCAGTATGTGAAATCGATGGAAACTTTGAGAGAAATAAGACTGAAATATTTCTATCTGCTTACACGCTCTTGCTAAGATATTATTCTGTGACACAGACATTTTGCAGGTAATGAGTTATTTTAGCTGTAATAGTAATAAAAAAAAGTAATTATGAATATTCTTCTTTTTTTTTTTCATTCATGATCTATGTATACAATATGCCAAAGTTGTTAAAATCCATTAAATATTGGTTGAGTACTGGGTATATTAGTATATTGCAATATGCATAATGTTAATATGTATAGCTAAGAACTTTAAAATTAGAATCCCATTTAAAAATCACTGGCACACTTTGGAATACCATGTATTTTATAGGAATTTCATTGACGTCTTGAATCTGATTTTCTCCCTTTACTTCCATTTGAGTGTTGTGAATATTATTGTTCAACTCTAAAGAAAAACTGAGCAATATCTGTTTTCTTTTTCTGTCATACCATTACTTTAAATTGTAAAAAGTATTCTTGTATTACTTGTATAATTATTTTAATGTGTTAATCTGCATTTTCTTTTAAGCTCGTATTTGACCTTCATTTTGTAAAATTGAGATGAAATGTTCTCTCTAATACTGTCATACATTGCTTATTTTAAATTTTATTGACTGCTGTATGTTGTGCACTTCCATCAAATAGAAAAAAAAAACACCAAATGTAGACTATCCATTGATTTATTTTATCATTGCTAAAATGCATTGGTTGGCCAGGGTTTGGATTCTTTTGGGGCTGAAAACCACACTATTTTACCAGTAGATTATATGAGTCGTGACCCGATGTTATCAAGATAATAATGGTAGGCACTTTGCGATAATTTCTACCTGCTATTGTTAAAACTCACCACAATTCCTTATTTTAAAAAGAAGTATCTATTTAATGATATATTTTTAACATCATTAAGTTTTGAGAAGTATTTTTCTGCTACATAATACCGGCATATGCCTACCCTACCCCTTTTCGCTCCCCTAAACTACAATTTTTTTCTCTAAACATGACCTTAAATTACCAAATCTAAATGATCACTAATTAAATCATTATTGTCACAATAGAAGCTCATTGATGGCTGATTTCTTTTTATGGTGGAGAAACACTTTAGATTTTTTGTTAAATGTCCGGCCCACCTTACCCCTTTTTGTGCCCTGAACTACATTTTTTTTCTAAAAAGAAATTGTGAAAACAGTCTTAAAAATTAACAACAAAAACTCTATTCTGTACCATTTTAAATAAATTTTATATTAACAAAATTTGATATGTTGATATCTTCATTAAAAATTTAACCAAACTTTTGCTTTGTTTTTCTACTATATTATCAGAAAATTGTGAAACAAAGTATTCTTTTATTGAAAGAAGAATCTCTATACTGTTTTTTACGTCTGTAACAGCCTTGAGTTTTTTTTTGAAAAAAAAGAAATATTATTGATAAAAATAACCCACTTTACTTTTCGCTAAGTAAAAACAAAAATATATTTTCATTTTTTTAAAAAGAAAATCTTAACCCGTTTTAGTTCACGCCCATGAATGAAATGTAAATACAAAACATATGGCTCTATTTTTTAAGATTAAATTTTAAATAGTGTAAAATGATAAGGTTTTGCTATTCATGGGTATACCGACCCACGTTTTGTCAACGCCATTTTTTCTTAATTGGTAAACATCTGTTTATTTGTCAAAAGAGACCGGAATGTAACACCTATTTATCACGACTGTAATATCACTGGCTTTAAAGATGTTGTCATCCATTTAAAAATGAACACACCCTATTTCCTACCCCCGATATATATATATATGTACCTAAGAAGGTTAATTATTTATCACATTCATTCCTTTATTCTGAGGCGTATCTTGTGTTACCTGGGGCAAAATGTAAGTATCAACCCCCCTCCCCCACAGTTTTTAATTTTTAAAAAATTACAAAATCATCCACGGGTTGGTAGCCCCCCTACATACTTAACCAAACATTTTTTGCACGTCCCTGAATTTAATTAAAATTCTAAAGTCCTAGAGCCCCTTTACTTTTACCTAACATTGTTTTGTAATTTCTAAAAAAAAATAAATAAATACCCGGTACTGGTAATATCGTACTTAGCATAAATCGTATATGGAAATATTATGTTTATTTATCTTAACTTAAACATTGAAAACTATACCAAATTTAAAATTTGTGTCATAATTGGGTCTTTAGATATAGATATCACAATGAACTAATGCAACTTCATATGTTTTGTTCTCATTTGGATGAGTGATATGTGAATTAGTGTGTGCTACAGTATTTTCTTATTAAAAGTATTTTAAACGTTTTATTACTTTTAAAATTTGATTTGGTTGCATTTTTTCTGACATGTCTCTCAATAATCATATTTCTCTGTCGCTCTGCGTACACCGCTATCTGCCAGATCTGCTCCATCAGCCAATACCTCACAGTTTGCGCAACAAAAACACTAGTCTGTGCTCTTGTTCTCTCTCGTCTTGACTATTGTAACTCTCTTCTGTCAGGTTCACCAAAATATTTAATAGTATAGATTTGCAGAAAGTTCAAAACTCAGCTACTAGGTTAGTTCTAAAGGCAAAGAAACGTGATCACGTCACTCCACTACTTCACTCACTTCATTGGCACTGTATACAGGCACACATTTATTACAAGCTGTTGTTTTCTCTGTCACAAATTTTTCTCTGCTTCGTATCTTACTGAAATTCTTTCTGTCTATTCACTCCTTTGAAAGCTTTGTCCCTCTGCAGACACGCATATTCATTCTGTTCCCAGAACACACACTAAAACATATGGTGAACGATCTTTCTCTTTCTGTGCCCCCAAACAATAGAATCCACTCCCTTTACACATTCGCAATGTACCGACCATCACAGCCTTTAAAACTGCCCTCAAGAACCATCTCTTCAAACTCTTCTATACCGACTCATTCTCACCACCACCACCCCAACTGATAAACAAGGCTTGATGTTGTCCATGGCTAGACAAGGGTATATAGTACTTGGGTGGGTGAGGTCAAGCTTTTTACCAATTATTGTTTTTAATTGTATATGAATTAAACCACCTTAATGATAATAATAAAAGTATATTTTGTTTTGGAATGAAAAATAATTAACTTATTTAATGTTAAAAATACAAAGATAAAATTTGGTGTGTTTTATTAGCAATTTAAAAAGCAATCCACAATATTTATTAATTTTACTTTTAAAAATACATTATCAATTTTTTCACACATGGTTATTTAATCAAAGAAACTTAAAGCTTTTTATCAGCAAAATTAAATTACTTTATTTGAGTTCCATCGAAAATTTTACTTTGATGTTGTTTGAAGATATTTAGAAGAAATAAATTTTAATTTAATTTTGCAATATTAACAGTTAATATAACAACACACTAAAAAATGCACTAAAAACAACAGATGTTTGGTTTTCTTGTTAAATGTGAATAATGTTATATGACTTTAAAATAACAAATTTTATACAATTTATTGCTTATACTAATAAAAAGATTATATTAACTTTTATATTGGGTTACACTGGTACTTAAAATACTTCTTTAATTGTTATTTTTAATGTATTTCTAATTTATAATAATAATACTTAAACATATACTAAAGTAAAAGCCGATATATTTTATTTTTAGTGCAATCAAATTGATTCCATTTCTGCAAAATAATAGAAAATCACTATCTACTATCATTGTTTTTTATGAATCCGAACATAGTTAAATTAATTCGTTTCTTTAGTATTACATGGATAACCTAGCTCATTCTTATTAATCTTATAATACTTTTTATATATTAGAATATAGTCCTAAAATTGTGTTATACAATACCGGTACATTAAATAATTTTTTTAAACAGTCATAAATATGAATAAATATACATTATCCTGACACTGGTCAAAATTTTAAATTAAAAAAATGACCCAAAATATTTTATTGTTTCTTAACCCAAAATATGAATTATTTTGTATCACTTATCATTAAGATTTGGTTTTTTTTAAAAATGTATCTCTGGACCTAACAGGGATTTTGCACAAACATTTTGCTGACTTACCCATTCATGAAAGACTGGTAAATCCACAGAGTCCATTTACATATATTTACAGTGCTTTTACGTTATTTTTTCCATCAAAAAAAAAAAAAGTTCATAACATTATTTTCACATGCACTTGTTAATACTAATTGAGTAGGCATTCTAACACATAGTAAAAAAAAATGACACAAACTAAATCATTTTCTCATTGCCTTCTTTAGATTGCACCTAAGTTTCTATTGACAGGCTGAACTTAAGCTTGATTCAAAGCTAAATATTTGAATGATACCTTTACAATTGTAATTATATTCTGTATCTACATTTGTACTGGTACTAAAGAATTAGAGATTATGTAAAATAAATTAAGAAATACACAATGCAAAGAAATAGTTAATGTACCATGCTATTGCATTGTTAAAAATTGAAATTAAATATTTCTGTAAGTATGCAATCTGTTTGAAACACATTTGATTTTTTATGAGGTACCAGTACTGCATAAAGACGTTTCAAAATCATAGCTGTATCACAAAACGGCTAGTTTTAAATTGTAGCATTATTCAAGAGATATATTTATCTATGCACTTTTAAAGCGGCAGCCATTCTCAAGCATTCAACATTAATTTATCAGGAACAAATGCACTTTAAAAATACTGTTGTTTCAATACAGTGTGTTTGGTTAATTAAACTTAAACTATCATTAATGCTGTTGAGTACCCAAGCGTTATGGAAGGTGTTGTTGATTTTTGCCAAACAGATCCTGGAAACAATTATTGTAATCTAATGTTGGGCTACCAAAAATACATAATAAATACTGAATGGAAATACTTATATAGCAATATTTATGGAACTCACTTTGCCCATTCATTTTTCTGGTTTTTTTTTTTCCCCTCAGAAGTACGAGGAAAAACTGAACAGATTCACTCAATGAATAAAGGACTACAAATCAGTTATTTAAAATATTTCATAACATTTGATTTCAACATGAAAATCATTCAACAACATAGAATAAATTTTTCAAAGGTTAGCTTGTCATATTTATCTTTACAACCATTTGTGGATAACAATTTACTTAGAAACCTAAACATGAAACGAGTATACATAGTGGTCTATCAGTTTTACTTTATAAATATAAAGTTTATTCCCTGGTCATAAAATTTCCACAAAATTTCTTTATTATATGTGAAGATTTCAAATACTCTTTTTCATTTAAATTGAATATTTTGTTTCATCTCTGTCACCACATTTAGTTGAAAATATTTTAAAATTACATTTATATTATATGACTCAAATGCAATTTGTAAAAAAAAAATTTGAACAATTCTAAGATCAAGACTAAATCAGAGCAATTTGAATTAAATTTTAGTATGGTATTAGACTAAAGGTGTTGAACCAAATTACTAAATTATTTCTTACTGCACAATAAAATACTGGTAATACTTATTAAGATGCTGGGTGACCGAGCGGTCTAAAACCAAATAGCTGGTGGTCTTGAGTTCAATCCCCACCAAAGCCAACATCTCAAGCACTCCGGGTGGATGGGGCTTGCTAGCCTTGGACGGCAACCCATATAAGAGAAGGCAAACTCTGAATTTAAACCAGGAGCTAGAATGATCAACAAATTGATCATGGGCCCCTCAAATATAAGAAGAAAGAAGATGAGTTCATGATTGCATTCCATCCAAAATAACTTGGAAAAAGTAGGGTTTTTTTTAGGAACAAAGAAAGTGAAACAGCATTGAAACCACAGTTTTTGTTCAAAGAATATCTTTGCAGCCACATCCTATGCCACCCACAGCAGCACATATACAAAACTTGTACAATAGTATATACCACAAGATAAAAAAAAAGAAGGAAGGTTCTTATGGCTATAAAATTTAAAAGGACCTAAAAGCATGCTGGGATAAGAAATAAACAAGCTTCTGTCAAATTCTAACAAGTGCACTACCTGTACTGTACTAAAAACATTTTCACTATGCTGCACCCCTATGAGGAAGCTGCAGAGGCTAAGGGTTCTGTGGAGCACATTTTGAGAACCTCTGCACTAGAAGGTGGCACAGCATGATTTGAAAAAAAATATAATGAAAGAAAGTGAAGAAGACCAAGAATCAATCTCACTAGGCAGTCTCCCAGTGGAAAATAGATGCCCACCACGGATCACTTGGTGAAGGAATGTAGACCCAGGAACTCAGAACAGACTAAGGGAAAAAGTTTGTGAAATGAATAAGTCACGCAATCATAAGGCGCCTGCCTATACTCGTAACATTTCAGGGAAAAAATATCCCATAAAATCTTTATATGAACAGTTGCCATCTTGAAAGTTAATGAAAGGCAGAATGGATATAAAATTAAGATAAATTTATTTTAAAATATTAATACTTAATAATACTAATACTAGTGATAGAAGTGAAGTTTTTATGATTCCACATTTATTATTTTGTTTTTAATTAATAAAGTTGTTTCTTATTTTCATACAGTACCAAATTTTTTGGAGTGTAATACATTTTGTAATACAGTCACATCTTTATACTTGTACTAAATGAACCAGGCTCCTGCCCTTATTCCTATTAAAAAAAATAAAGCACAATAAACTAATAAAAAATGTATAGGATTATGGAAAAACAAAAAATTGCAAAATGACATTTTAATTATAAAAAATAATTTAAAAACTCATAAATTGAAGCAGTATATATAATCCAGAAGAATGACTGTCTAAGGACATATTTTAAGAATAAGATGGTCAAATTGCACCAGATAACCAACAAGAGTAACATCATATACAACAATTACAACAAAATTTCACATTAGTCTACAGGTAATTTTTTTTTTTTTGGTGATCGAAATTTTAAGATATTTTATAGCACAGATTATTTCAGGAAAAGCAAAAAGCAGTTTTGTTTAGAATAACAAAATTAGAAAGTTTGGATGCAGTCTGACAATAAAAAGAATACTTGGAACACAGAACTTAAAAACTTAAAGCTCAGAATTATCTTTTTCTGTTTTAGAAGCTGGTACAGGTAAATGTATTTCATCAATTTTATCAAAATGATTAAACCACTGGTTGAAGGCCAACAGAGCGACATTCCTAGAACCAATCACACTCATTTCCATAGCTGAGGCGGCCGACTCCACAGCATTTATATAATAGAGCCTA